GGCGGGCCGGAGGGCAGGGCAGGGGAGGGAGGGGGCGAGGCCCGCCCCCCGCGGGCACCCGGGAGTCAGTGCTGCAAGGCCCAGAGGGGAGACTGATGGAGCCGGGAGTCAGTCGGAATCGGGTGGCCCTCGAGAGAGTCGAAGGGCTGGGGAGGACGAGTGCTCGAGTGTCCCTTCGCCTCAGGCCTAGCAAGAGAGCTGCTGCTGTCGAAATTTCCACTCCTGAAAGTGTAATTACGTTTCACATGTCTATAGCTCCGAACCTTCCTGAAGGAATCCCAGGATGCATTGCAGTCTAGTGATCGGCCAGAAACTTGGCTATCAATACAAAGATTTTTTTTTTTAACCTTGGCGTGTTGTATGCTTAAAAGTTCAAAAAGTGTCAGAAGTTAAGATCACTAACCTAAATATTAACGTTTGGTAGGAAACTACGTTGGTTTGCATGCCATTTTTCTTGAGTTTCCTCCTTTGTTAATGACACGTTTGGCATTTTCATCCTTGACCTTGCTTATGTTGTTTGGTATAAAACTCACTTTGTTTTCAATCAAGTATTATTTATCTAGCAAGTGTATATCTTGAAACACTTGAGCACTACTTAAAACTATAGTTGTCACATACCTTTCAAAACTATGGCAAGGAAACATACTTTCTGTGATTTCAAGCTAAGTTCAGTCCTCAATAATAGATTTAGTGGCTGCTTCAGTGGTAGGTAGTATGCTTGCAGGTGCTGATTTCTGTAGGATGTCCAAGGAGTGAATTTAAGTGTTCTTCCCACAAATGGCCCTTACCTAGGGAATGATAGGTATTGTCGTAGAAAAAGGAAGGCAAGGCTGAATATACTTTATTTAGTGAGCGTGCTCTTGGTGTTCAGCTTCTTCAGAAACTTGGGAGCTGTAAAAGATGGAATTTGGAGAGAGAGACATTTTTGTGAGGAATGGGTTGTTTTATTGACTTTGGTATTTCTTTTATTTGTATGGGTGGTTGTTTTTTTGTTTGTTTGTTTTTGTTTTTGTTTGGTTTTTAACAAGGAAGCTTAGCTTTTATTGCTTTGCTTACCTCAAGCCATTTCGGCAACCTAAACTAGTTTACTTCTCAGTTCCTAAAAGTGCCTGTTTCCCTGTACTTTGTCTTGTAGATTCCATTCATCCAGGCCTTTTCTTTCTTGTCAACCCTTTACCTTGCTTTATTCTGGAATGACCAGCAACAGTATTACTAGACTTGGGACTCTATTTACAGCATATCTAAGCATCAGCCAAGTCAGCAAGTGCCATCTGTTTATAGAGCCATGATTTGGAATGGTCAATGTTGACTAGTCATCACCTCTGATAGAGTAGTAATTTTTTCTCTTACTGGTATTTGCTAATTTGTAGTTGTAGTTTTAAGGCTTTTGTCTGATACTGCTAGAAGTTGGAGATATATAAAAATGTATATGGCTAGTATGGCGATGCACACTTGTAATCTTAGCACTGTGGGAGGCTGAGGCAGAAGGATCACAAGTTTGAGCCCAACCTGGGCAACTCAGTGACTTAGTGAGACACTAATTTAAAACAAGAAGAGTTACAAATATAGCTCAGTGTGAAGACTTTGAATTCAACTTCCCAGTAATGCAAAGGAAAAAAATCATCTTGTTTAGGATGTCCTATTTGGAAAGGAACAGATTTTCTACATTAAGGTATACAGTTAGGTGGGCCTGTTGGATTGTGTGTTCCAGACCATTTGGGTCCATTTAATGCCACCATCAGTACACTGTACAGTACTTAGAAAAAGCAGAGAAACAATTAGAAATAGCAGCTAGATCGAAACTTTCAAAGGAGGAACCAAAAAGTTAGCAACTTTTTTGTAGTAGGGAAATGGACACTGAGGTTATTGCCTCTTTTGTTAAGCCATAGCTGAAACGTGCTTTTAAACTGGATGCCAGAGGAGCTGTTTCTGAAGGAGCCTAGAGATCAGAGCTCTAAAATAACTTTTAAAAATGCATCTTTCTAGGATGAATATATCATTTCTTCTAGATTGTCTTCTCCTTTTTTGAAATACAGTGCTGCCTAGAGCCATTAGTAGAACAAGAAGCTTTTGTGTGGTGTCACTCACCTTCACTGAGAGGCTACTTACTGGTTATGCTTGTCTCCAGCTATCCCAAGTCAGAAGTCGGGATTCTCTATGAAAACATAAGAATATAGGTTTCCAAAGGAACATTTAGTGTAATTACGCATGAATCATTTAAGTGCAGTCTCTAGAGAGCCAAGTAAATTGATCAACTGATTGTTATTAAAATAGAACACCCAAAATGAAGGAAAATATTGGAGACAAAGCTTAATGTATACTACAGTGAACATTTTCTGATAGAATGTATTTATTTTAGCCAGGCGTGGTGGCACATGCCTATGGTCCAAGCACTCGGGAAGGCAGAGGCAGGAGGATCACTGTGAGTTCAAGACCAGCCTGGACTACATAGTGAGTTCCAGGTCAGTCTCAACTACTTAGTGAGACCCTGTCTCAAAAAACAAACAAACAATATATATATCTTTTAAGTTTAAATTTTATATATATAAAATTTTATATATAAAGTTTAAATATATATATATAAGTTTTCAAGTTTAATTTTAAAGTTAAATTAGTTCAGTCTTTTTATTTAGATTAACAAGAAGTGGCTTTAGCAATGTTAGGTAATTGGGGTAATTAGGGTTACTTGTAGCTTTGGGTATTTGTTGTGCCTCTTTGAACCAGATAACAAGTACTGAGGTGCTGTTAATGGGTTAGTGTTCTTGCACCATTCCACTCTGTGCCTCTCAGAACCCTTCCATTAAAAGGTGTATAGAATAGAATAAAACCAGTGTTGGAGTACTTCTTGGAGGAAAAACTGTATCTAAGATGTAGCAAATTTGTATTGTAGAATTTAAATCTTAGAAGTGTTCTATTTTGTGTTTGTTTTTTGCTGAATGCTTTTTTCTTTTAAGGAGGGGCTTTATTTTTTTAAAATGAGACACAGTAAATGCACATACTGTAGGATTCACCCTTTTACAGTGTGCAGTTCACTGTTGGTTTTTTTTTTTTTTTTTAGTTCCAAGTTTATGCGCCCACTGCCACTTGATGGATGCTTTTAAATCACTAGATATTCTCAAAAGTAATCTCTTTAGGACCTCTACAGTAAAGGAGTTCCAAAATATCAAAGTAAAGGTTGCTTTTTTATAGTAAAGGACCTGTTGGTTACTAGATGATGATTCTTAATTTGTTTTTCTTCAAGACTGAAATATATACAGTAACAGTTCGAATATACAGGTGTTCTTGGGATGTTAAGTGGAATTAGAGCAGTAAGCAGATCATTAGTATTATTCTTGGATTGTTGCAGTGATAAGTATTTTAGTGCCCTTAGTTATTTCTTTCTTACTGCTTATTAGATTTTGACTCTTGATTCTATGTGTATGAACGGCTGGAGAATAAAGATTTAAGAAACAAGTGATGGCACTAACTACTGTTGTGGTGGGTTGAATAGCCGTTTCAACTGTTAGAAATTTTGATTGGCCATAAAGTCTTTGGAGCAGATTGTACTTAGCATTGTTAGTATATACATTATTGCATTAATTTGTTCTTGGTTCTTACCTTTTCTGTTCTCACCTTTTCTGAAATTGTATAGAAAGAGAGCAAATAAAATGCATCAGGTCAAGTTAGGGAAATATATAGGATAAATTTTAAGCCTTGATCTGCTTGTTTTTGTTTTAAAGTGTTCAAATAGAATTGTCCGAGGAGAAAGGAATGTTAAAGAAGAGAGAGAATCTTTTGAGTGAGTTAACAGTATTAGAATAGCATTTCTGAGGTGGAATTGTTTGCTTAGATATACATGTATACAACTGGCAATTAATTAACAAGCATTTATCCCCGAAAGTAGGATGCAGTGTGAGGCACTTGGAGTGATGTCAGGATGACTAAGTTGCAGTCCTCCAAGAGTCTAGAAAAGGATCAAATAACTAGTTTACAGTAGTGGAAAAGTGTATTAAGAGGACCATACAAAGGATGCCGATAACTTTCAAAGTTGAGAAGATAAACTGCTCAGGATTCAAGAGCCTTGTGTAAATCATTTCAGTCTTGTCATCTTAGTCATAAAATGAAAGATACATCTGTTTTATGCTTTTTCTGGAATACAGTACTTTTTGTTTTTGAGATCTAATTCACATATAAAATTTCTTCCTCCTGGTGTTTCTATGGTTTTTGTTTCTGTTTGTAGTACTGGGAATCAGACTCCAAGGCACTTCAGCACTGAGCTACATCCTTAGCCCTTTTTATTTTTTATTTTGAGAGAGAGGGTCTTTCTGAGTTACCCAGGCTGTCCGCAAACTGTGATCCTCTCCTCCTGCCTCAGTCTTCCAGGTAACAAGGATTATAGGGGTCCATCACCACACTTCACTCTGTTTCTGTGTTTTTAATTTAAGTTGGCCAAGTATTTGCTGAAATAGAGTACAAGTTATCTTCTTGCACTATTTATCGTCTCTTTTATTACATAGTTTCTGTGATTCTTTCTAGTATATTTACTAGGCAAGTTTGTTTAGAATTGCATCATTCTACCCGTGTATAAAAATCTTGGAGAAGCAAAAATGTGGTCACTTGTTGAAGGTTTTTTTGTTGTTACGAGGTCCTCAGACTATTTAGTTGTCAGTTGTTGATTGATATTAAAGCTTCTTAAGGTTTGTCTTTTCCAGTAGGTTTTTAATAAAGCATAGCTAGATTACAGATGTATTCTGTCTTTGTAAATGACTTTGTTGGAAGGGGACATGGTGGTTACTGTACTTCAATTGGAATCAATTTCCCATATAATTCAACCATTCTTGGGGAGAAACAGAAGGGATTTCTCCAGCATCTTATATTAGTCTAATCCTAGGAGTGGTGATGCTCAATTCCATAATTTTATGTCAGTTCACTTGAAAAAAAAAAACAAAAAACGCATACAACTAAGCAATTTGTATTCATTTCCTTTGTGTGTTTTTCTTTTTTAATAGCAGAAAAATATTTTTTCTCTTATTTTTGTATGTTAGTGGGACTATATGTAATGATTTTGGTTTATATATCTTAATATGTTTATAATTGCTTAAACTAGATGGGATATAAATCATAAATAAGACTTTTAGGGTTGCTTAAAAAATAGAGTGGAATTTCAGATACTCCACAGACTCATTGAGTTATGAGGCATTGTTTTAACGACTGAATAAACAGCTTCTTAGAATGTTATGGCTGGGAATGACTCTAGAAGTAATAGCATCTTCTCATTTTTGGATAAAGAAACTGAAGCCCAAAGATGCTAAGTGAATGACTGAGGTCACTTACAGAGTTAATGACACAGTTGAATCTAGAATCTGGATTTGCTGGGTGCTAGTTTAGGGCTCTTTCTGCCATATCATGCTGTTTATTGGAAAAAAGAGCTTGCCTAGAGCTAATTACTACAAGCAGCATGGGTTTTCTGACAAGAGTGGCCCTGTAATTTGCCTTTCTAGTGTTTCATTCTTAAAGGTTGATGAAATTATTTTAGGGCTTTGAGATACTTGTTGTAATTTATTGAGAATTACCAGTGTTTAATATGCCTCAATCATTTAATCTCCACAGTATTCTCTTGATGTTTAAGTACTATTGGCCCATTTTATAGATGCAAAAATTACAGCTTAGGAAAGCTAAACAACTTAGTGAGGTCATGTCATAAATAAATAAGTGGAAGTAGTGAGGATTAGATCTAGGATTGGTTTCAAAGCTGTTGCTAGAAGAAGTGACTCTGTTAGTCTTTTTGTGATTTTTATATTAAACAATCTTTTTAGCTGAGATACCTTTTCAAAAACCACATAGCTCTTTTGGAAAGATACCCAGCAGAGGGATGGCTGGGTCAAATGGAACCTCCAGTCCAAGCTCTTTGAGGTATCTCCATATTGATTTCCATAGTGGTTGCACCAGTCTGCACTCCCACCAACAATGGAGAAGGGTTCCTTTCTCCCCACAACCCCGCCAACATTTGTTATTGTGTGATTTCTTGATAGCAGCCATTCTTTGTGGGGCAGGGGTAAGGGGAAAAAATGAGAATCAAGACTTGTCATGTAGAGGTACAAGATCCCAACAATGAATGTAACTGTACTGTATCCCTAAAATGTACCAATAAACTCAATTAAAGCTGAAAAAAAAACCAAAAACAGATAGCATCTTCTGTTTCCCAGAAGTAGCAGAATGACATCCTATGTAGGAAAGGCTAGTCTAAAGTAACAGTTTGTAATTGCATTTTTTAGCATTTAAAAAGGTATTGATACAAATTACAGTAATAGCCAGGCATGGTGGCGCATGCCTATAATCCCAGCATTCGGGAGGCTGAGGCAGGAGGATCGCTGTGAGTTCGAGACCAGCCTGGGCTACATAGTGAGTTCCACATCAGTCTCAACTACATAGTGAGACCCTGACTCAAAAAAAAAACAACAACAAAAAAACAAATTACAGTAATACCTTGGTTCATGAAGGCTTTAGTTTGCAAACAAAAGTATTTGGCAAAATTTTGCTTTCCATTCACAAACTCTGCATCTGGTAACAAACACAACCATGGCTATCTTCCCAGCAAACCATATTCCCCCAAAATCATGAAACAAATTAAGTTCATAAGATGAAGTACCACTGTATTTTAACCAGTTCTGTTCACCATTGCCAATACCACTGTGCTTTTCTCATTCAGTTGATTTTGGTTTTTGGTGCTTTTTCAGACAAGGTTTCACTATGTAGTTCAGCATGGCCTTGAACTCACCTCAGCCTCCCAAGTGCTAGGATTATAGGTGTGTACCACCATTCCCAGCCTTTTTTTTTTTTTTTTTGTACTGAGGATCAAACTCAGGACCTATGCACTTATGAGGTAGGCATGATGCCACTGAGCTAAATTCCAAGTCCACTTCATTCAGTTTTTGAGACAGGGTCTTGCTGTGTTGCCCATACTTATCTTAAACTCTTGAGCTCGAGCCTCAGCTTCCCAAGCAGCTGGGACTGCAGTGGTGTGCCACCGCACCTGAAAAGGCTTTGCCTTTTTAGAGTGTTTAGTATTTAATTCATTGACATTGTAACATGTTCTAAAGGTTTTTTGTTTTTTTGTTTGTTTTTGAGGCTCTGGGACTCAAACCCAGTGCCTCCCTCATGCTAGGTTAAGTACTC